GTAATGAGAGTGGCATGGGCCTGGGAAAGTTTTGACATTGCATTCCGGAAAATGTTTTTCTTTGCTCTGCCAAAGAAATTATTGGAAAATGCACATCCCTTTTTAGTCCGGTTACTGGGTGGGTGGAAAGTTCACATTTCAGAATGCTTATAATTAGGCAAAGTTCGAATATTTACCAAGCAAATCAATTGGAAATCGAAGTGGGTGCGTTTCCGGAAAATTCCGGCTAACTGAAATCAAATTATTTTGAAATCCCAAATCGAACTTCAAAGTGTTTGCCAGACGAGGGCTATATGGCTCAGACAGTGGTTAAACTATTTACCAATTTTCTCCAGAGTCCCTTGGGGTATCCTTTTTGAAAAAAAGTCTTGGCAACTTTGAAGTTGCATTCGTCTATGGGTTTAATTTTCATTTTCAATTTTGTTTGTGTGCTTTCAACCCCCCTGGAAAACGCTTATCTAATGCCCAAGATCGTCAAGGATATTTGTTATATTCGGGGAGTGGGGACTGTGAAGCATTTAACATGCAATTTAGCGCAGCTGCTGTGAAAAATTCCTCACTGCCTCCTTGCTTTTAAAGCCTTATCACAGGGCACAATAAATTGCCATTTAAATGAGGCACAAATGAAAGGCAGCACAGCGAACAAAAAAAAAATATAAAATTCTTTCGCATATTTTATGGAATGGTACCCCAAACCCAGCGAGGGCAGAGGCGAAAAAAATTGCCAACCCCGAACTGCGAGCCAACCTAATGAGTAGAAACAAAGCAATATTTGCAGGCAAACGCGCCAAATTCCGAAAGCAAATTTGCCAAGAAAGAGAAAAATTACGCATGGAAAATGAAAAAATGCGAAAATATTTCCTTCCCTCGTTCCCTTGTATGGGCCGAGATGGCTTGGTTTGGTTTGGTTTGCTCGGCTCATATGTTGATCAAAAGCGAGCTACATGCATATTACAAATTAGCATGCATAAAACAAGGCCGAGAAGGAAATGGCCAGCGGGCGGAGGTCCTGGAGAGTCCCGGCAAGGTCCTGGGGAGTGCGGATGGAACTCGATTCGAGTGTGCGGGCGCATAAAGCAATATTTATGTTCCTGTATCGCTCGAGGGGAAGTTTGAGAGTCTGGAGCCGGATGGGATGTCGGTGGGGGCCTCTCGGTGCGTTTCTGGTTCTAAATTAAGCGTGGAATATGCGTGGAGAAGAAGCTTTTATTAAAACCAGGCCGAATAACAGGACTCTTCAGGGTGCCCTGGGTTTTATTACAGTAGGCGTGGCCTTCGGTTCAGCTTCCCGGTTCCTTGGATTGTAATAAAAATTCCGCAAATAATCATTACGGTGGGGTTTCGGGTGGGAGGCCTAATGAAAAGGGGGCGATGCCATTAAAGCAAAGTAAATGCAAAGTGTTTTGTGCTCAGCCATTGGAAATGTTAATAATACCAAGCTTTCAATCTAGTTATTATTATTTTTTAACAAGTGTCTATTGTGAGGTATTTAATTTAAAAAAAATACAGTTTTTTCATTGCATATGGAGGATTATTAGGGGCTTAGAAGTATTACTACAAGGCTTATACCAGAGTATATATACCCTTGAAGGGGGTATTGTTTTTTATCCAAAGGGATGCAACGCAATGAAGGAGACATCTACGACCCTATAAAATATAATATTCTCCCAAGTCGATAAAATCATGGTCGTCTGTCTGCTTCTACGCGAACTGCTATCTTGGTTTTAAAGCTACCCACGGAAATCTATTTTTCCCTTGGTGGAGGTATTTACGATCTTTACTTTATTATTCTAACGTTTGATTTGGCCTGATATTCTAACAGTCTGATAACCGATATTTGTAATAAAAATTTTGTGTATACAGAACTCCCTTGCCGTTTTTTTCTTTAGTCGGTGATCTCGCTTTCACAAAAATGGATAAGCTGATCGATCTGAAATTATGACACAAACTTCTTAAATTTATTACCCAGATAATATACAAAGGATTTAATTTTCAAAAAGAGTATTACTATTTTTTTCAAAAATTTACTGGAACATTTTCAGACAAAAGTTGGTCTAACTTGTTTGAACCAAAATTGAAATGTTTTAAATTTTTTTTTGAAATGTTTTAAATTGTGCAGGTGCGCCGGCAAGAAGGCAGAGTCTACTACTGAGCTACTTTCGCCAACTGGCAGTTAACATATGCAGGGCTTGACACGCCCCCCACACACACATGCACCCACGCACACACTGTCAACAAGAAGACGCCCACACACACACACACGCATAAAGTTAACGACAGCGAAAGAGGGCAAAGAAGAAACGAAATATACAAGCATAAAAATAAAAAAAAAGAAAGAAAGCGGAGAAAGGATGAGGAGAATTCTGAGAGAAAATTGTTATTTAATTTGTGTGAGTGCTGAACATTTTTGCAGCTGCTGTTGCTCAAGTTCCTGTTGCAAAACTTTTTGCCCAGCCCCGACCAGGCCAGGCCAAGCCAGCACACGCACTAAACTTTAACACAAGCATAAATTTTTGGCTCACACACACACATGCAACATGCAAGGATGTGTGGGTAAGTAAGTGCACTTTGCATTTGGGGGCGCCGCGAATCCTTTTGGCTTTCTTCAAAATTCATATGCACATTTATTTTATTCGCAGCCTCTTGGGCGCACCGCCCTGCCATCTCAAGTAGCTGCATATGCAAGTAGGTGCTGCTCCTGCTGCTGCATCTTGCCTGCTTATTTGTTGCATAATTTCACCCTGCCACAACCTCAGCGCCCTCGTGCCTGGCCCTCTGCCCTCTGCTCTTTACTAAACTTAAACGAAGCGTAAAGGCAACACAGGCTGCAATTTTAAGTCACGAGTTCATTAGGAAAGTCCAGGGGAGGTGAACAAAAAACAAAGGGGGCCGTAGCAGAAATTCATATGAATAATGAAGATTCGCACAGTACTGTAAGCTTTACTTTCTTTTCAGCTTCCAGCAGAGCCAGGACCAGCCAGGACCTGCTCTCTAATCAAAAATGTCAACGAAGCAAATGATTGAGGCCACTGCTAATATTCTTTTGTCATCGTTTTCTGGTTTTTTTCGGTCTGCCATTTGACTTGGTAATTATGGACAGGTAATCCTGGGCAGGAGGCCTTATTGTTTGCTCCGATTACATGCCATCCTCTGCCAATCGGTTTATGCTTATAATGAAACTCAAACCCGAGCAGATTGGTAGTTCTTTCAGGGCCCTCTTCTGGCTGAATACACTCGAAAGAAACGCGAAACTTTGCAGACAGAGGAAGCGAACTTTTCGCAGTTGCTCTTTGTATTTTGTTTAATTTTACAAGCAAACACAAATAGAGCAAGTAGTGAGCAACTAGCCCCCAACCATCTAGCGCTCCTATGGCTTCTTTTTAGCTTCCAACTCCTGTGAATATAATCTATTGTATGTCTGTCCAACTATCTTACTCCCAGTTCCTTACAGCCGTCTCTCTGCGTCGCTCCTCTCCTTGCATCCTGTCGCCTGTGAGTGGAAGCCTGGGAATCCTTTTGGCGTCTGCCACTTGATAAATATGACTATTTCACGCTTCCCTCCATCCCAGCTCCTACACCCAACAGCCACCTCGCCCTGGCCATTGCTTTTGGCTTTTCGTTGTTTATTTGCGTTAAGTGTTAGCAGCCACGCTTCGTCCTGTGTGTCCTCCTGCCTGGGACCCCTTTACATTTTGTTTATCTAGCACTCAATTTCGCAGTTTTAATGACAAAATGTCTTACCTTGAAATTGCATGCGGGAGCATTATAAGTGTCTCCATTTCACCTCCCACTCTCATACTCTGCCACCCTGCCAAGCCACCCATTCGCCCACAGGAGGACTTTGTTTGATTGCTTGGCGTGTCCTGGAAAGTCCGGACTCCGGAGTACTGGGAACTTCATGTTTGGATTGCACTCGAGGGTAAGCTTGGCCAAGTCCTCATCTCCGCTGCTCCCTGTATCTGTCAGATACTCCTCCTCCTCCTCCTGCTGAGCACTACTTGGCAAGTTTTATTGTCTCAATGTCCACTTAGCTTTCGCCTCAAGACAACTTAATACGCTGGACGAAGGCTTCGTCACCGGAAAGGGAAAAACAAGGCTCACACAAAGGCGGACTAAAGCTGAGGAGGAGTCCTTCCACTGCTGGTGATGTGAAGTCAAAGCTAACGCATTTTCCTTAATTTCCGGCAGCATGATTTCCAATTTTTCTTTTGAATTCCCTTGCACTTGTCGTATACTTAATATATCTGCCAGCTGACAGAGACACAGAAACAGACAGAGACAGAGACAGACTGATGTAGAGCAGAAAGAGAGAGGGACACCGAAGCTGATTGGAATTGCCTTCTGCAATGTCATCAATCATGCGTCGTTTTCCACACGCCCAGGCAAAGATTTTGACAAGTGTCAATGCGACAAGCAAACGAGCGATAAGCCAGACTATAAACCAAAAAAAAATATATATAAGGCAGAAAAAGAAAGCTGAGTAACAGAAAAAATAAAGGTGTGCGGGGGGATGGGTAGATAGGGCGATGGGAAATCACATGCAAAGTAAAATGTCGAACTTCTGACAGCAAGAAAATAAAACTTTTCATTTGTTTTCCTTGGCTCTGCCGTGTCCCGAAACTGCTGTCAAAGTTTTTAATGTTTTTAACTCCTCGCTGTCACCTGAGCTGCCATCCAGTTGGAAATAAAAAAGAAGCCCCCTCTGCCGCCCTTCAGGCCATGCAGAACTGGGCCACACCCAAAATGGTCATGCCACAAAGGTGTAGTGGCTTCATTTCTTTGATTGGGATGCTGGGATAGGGGTCATCAGGGAGTACACAAATCCAGCAAGTGTGAACAGCTCTGAACTGGCTCCAGAGAATAGAGATTGTCAGCTATGATGGCCCTTTGATTATTTATAATCTTGTTTGCTTTTTAAATTAATTTGAAGCTATTTTTTAGGAGCCTATGGCCATTTTTAACATAAAACTCCCCTCCCTCATAGAATGATTTCTACTTACCCTTCACAGACACCGTGACACTCTGCAGGACCTCCAGCTTCTTCTTGTTGGCCGGCGATTGGCCAACGCACTTGTACATGCCTGCATCCTGGTACATGACGTCCTTGAGTGAGAACTGGCCGGTGGGCTGGCTGCTGCCGTAGCCCAGGCCCCGGAGACGGGCCGAAATGGGATCCAAGTGGGACCAGCAGCCCAGAGAGCCTAAAAGACATGAAAGTCATTGCATAATTTAATTAATTGACTTCCAAAGGGGGGTCGACTGGGGTCCAGGGTCGGCAGGAGTCAGCAGGAGTCGGCCAGGAGTCGTCGGCACGCAAGTTTTAATTTCTTTAATTGATGCGTCGCCGGTTAAAAGGCCACGCCCACGCAGCCACGTTACCAAACGCCCCCGCCGCCCGGCCATTTGTCTATTTTTGGTATTTGTCGGAGAAAGTGGGCAAAGTAAATTGCACGCATAATTAATTTCCAATTGCGCTAATTAATGAAGAGCTCCCCCGAATCGAACGAAAGTAAAACGTAAAATGTAATTACAGCTCAGACGCATTTGTCAGCCTAAATGAGCCTGGCCGAGAATTCCGATACTCCTCCGTCCTTCGAAGTTTGTTCCTTTGAAGTCTCCATTTGCCAGACCTTAGCTGGGAGGCCTTAGGCGGGGATACCTAAAACGGAGGCTTACCTTGCGGACACTGCAACGTTACGGCGCCACCCAGCTGCACTTCCAGCTGCCCCTTGTTGGGATTGTGCGAGGCAGCTGCCACGGAAACATCCTGATCATCCGGCTCCGAGGTCACGTCCACAGAATCGTCTGAAACGGCAGAAAGGAAGGGGAAGAGCTTACATAAGTTAAAGCCGTAAAGTTTAGGCCACATGTGGCACTAACACACACTGAGAGCGTCGAATGGTAGAATTTTAAAGCAGGAGTTTGGAAACGGGCCAAGATTGTTGAATGGCTGAGACGCCCGAATGATTTCAATCAGCTAAAAAGATTACTCCGATACAGGAGCATCCTTTTTTTTCTCGGTGCAAATCCCACAACTGTCGGCAATTGTCAAATGTGACAATATTTCAATGACAGGAGTCGGCAACAAATTGCTGACGCGCTGCCGACACCTGAGTCACTCCCTGCCGGCACCGGGCCGCAATGAGTTGTCACTTCCGTTCTGATGCCAACTAAAAGTGAAAATCGTTGCGCAGCTAGCTGGAAAATTGCCTGAGCTGCAATCTTCTTTGCCGCAAAATTCATAAATACATATATTTTATGCTTGTTTCCGTGGGTTGTAGGGTGGGTGGTGTAAGGAAGTAGGAAGAACCCATAACGATGCTTCATTCTAATTTCGGAGCAAGGACGACGGCACTGGCTGGAGCGGGGGCAGGAGCAGGAGCACACCCATTCGCATATTTTCCACTTGCCTTGCCAGGCGGAGATGGGAGATGCCTGGGAGATGGCTTTAAATTTCAGTCCGCCTTTGTGGTACGGCATACTTTATGGCGCTGTTCATATTACGGTATAAATAACAATTTGCCCTGACATGTGCCTAAAAGTATGCGACCGTCTAGTACGCCTCGCCTTTGTCTGCCACCGGATATCATAACAATAAGTTGCCAAGTGGCGACATTGCGACCTCACCGCCAACGCCACCACCACTGCCCCTGCCCCTGCCACACCGTCAACTGGCAACAAAAAATCTTTGTACAAGAAAATGTACATTTTTTTGAGGACAAAGGAGCCGCAGAATCACCTTGAAGCACTCCTTGGGGCCAACCGACAAATTAGCAGACCCAAAAGTGAGCCGCACAATTAACAAAAACTACTAATTACCGAATGGGGGCGGCCGGAGAGCAATTTCTCTAATCGATGGCGAAGCCCTTGAAGGGCCACCACTCCACACCACGCCAAACTGAGATTTCCCCGGGTTGCGACGACAATTAATTGTAAGCTCCTTTCCCTTTGGTGGAAAGGACCCTTCGTCGGATGTCAATCAAGCGGCAGGATAGCCACCCCTCGGCGAGCGTTTTTATTGCTGACAATAGCGCAAAAGTCTTCCCCTCGGCCTCGGCCGGGAGGGCGTGTTACTTAGTCAAAATCACGTAGTTAAAAAATGTTTTTATTGCCCAACAGCACAAAGGCGGACAAAGGCGGCGGCGCACAAATTGACAACTTCAAACAGGGGGCTGGCCGTCGTGAGGGGTACTCGGCTGCAGCTTTGACAGAAATAAGAACTCTCGCTGGCCCACTGTCCCGGTGTCCCTGTCGCACAAAAATGTCTAATGAGCTCAGCTTGTCTCGGCTCAACTGACAGACATTTGTCATTGGCGAGGGCTGGCGGCGTGTTTCGGGGCGATGCGATAACAAAAGTGTCCATAAGCGTCTACACGGCGAGCAAAATCCCCCTCGAAAAAATTCTCATTAATTTCGGCTTGAGTGAGAGATTTATCTCTATGAATTTTGAATCAAAATGGTTTTAAATTTACGCCAAACAATCAAAGGAATTCGACTCCCATTTGCGGTTTCATACTATAAGCCCTATATCTGCCCGAAGCCTAGCTGGTTTCGAGTTGCGAAATGTCAGGGGTAGATCTGATACATTAAACGACATATTTAGAGTAGACTTTTCGAGTTCTTGAAGTACTTACTCCCACCCTTGCAGCAGAAAAAGAAAGGACTAACAAACTCTTGCAATATATTTTCCCAAAACACACACATTCATAATTTTGAGCACTTGTTTCACGCATATTTTACTCAATGGCCATTCATAAAAGTGTCCGCCCACTCCAGAAAGTACAAAAACTCAAAGAATATAGCCAGAGGAGAGCAAAAATAACAAATAAACAAAGGCAAACAAATGGGCATCGAGTACCGCCCATATGGCGACAGTGAAGTAGATTCCGGAGAGAGAAAGGTCCTGGCGAAAGGGCGAAAGTTATTCCCGGGGCATATCATTTTCGGCGGGGGTGAATGGATGTGGTGCTGAGGAGGCGGCAAGACGCACACTCGAATAAATCCCAACTCATAACAACAACAAATGTGAAGGGCAAACAACAAATACCAATGCAAACAAGAAGAATCAATATGCCGGGCGAGACTGAAGAGCCCACCAATCATTAATCATAAAGCCTCATCATCATCATCATCCTGCCAGCCAGCCAGCCAGGCCAGCCAGGCAAGTTTGCGTTTCGCCTCCAAGGATTCTGTTTGGATGTCCAGAATGTGTGAATATGACGGGCGAGTGCGATCCATAAATCCTTCGCCGATAGCTGGTATTTGCTTTCCCCCCTCACGACTGTGAGATACCCGCTACTTGAGGCCATCAGGGCTGTTTAAATCTTGGCTCTTTCCTGCCTCTTAAATTGCAACTACAAAGGGGTATCTTTTTTCTTTTGCAATTTTCATTAGCACTCCATGGCCCACCCAAGATTAATTTCCATTTTTTTCATACCCTACTCCCCTGCTCCGGCATCAGCTCTTCATTTTCGCAGTTAGTCATGAATATGAAGGAGGCCGACGAGTTGCAACATCATCATCGTCCTGGCAGGCATCGTGGCAACAATCAGCTTAACTTACAAGCTGCATAAACAGCCGGCGGAAGCAGAGCAAAGAGTAAACTTGGGCGATGCGATGGGTAGTGATGGGTTGCTGCTGTGATTGCATTTGTGTCTTGGTTATAAATTTTAATTTTTATCCTCCCTCCAGCCAGCATACACCCACTCACCCTTTAGCCCTGGGAAAGCCAAAAGAGTCCTCGAGAATTTTCGTTGCGCGATTAATTTGCAATGAGTTGAAATTGAAGATGATTGCAGTGGATGGATGTGATGCGCCGAGCAAAACAAGACATTTCAAAGGAGACGATGATGGGTTAATTTCAGGACTCAGGATTCAGTATTCAGGAGCAGAGATGCAAATTAGAGACGAGCTCACCCTCGCTTCTAGAGTGAACTGAAGCCGAAGGATACTTTGTCTTCATATCCATAAAGGATAATCGCTCTCGACAAATTTACGTCCACTTCATCGAAGCGAAGGAAATGCCTCTGAACGCAAAAGTTTGCGATCATAAAAAAATGTATATTTTCACTCGAAGCATTTGCCCGCAACGAGTTTTTAATATTTTCTCAAGTTGCCCAACAAAGGGGACACAATTCGAATGAGTTTTGCGTTTCATTTGAGGCAAGAACAAATAAAATTTTATTGAAAATCTTTTTGGAGCGACCCTCAGCCCCGGTCCTTAGTCCTCAATCCTCAGACATCCGAAACATATACCGAAACATAATCGCCTGCTATAAAAACAAAGGCAAGAAAAAAAAACTAATAATCGTGCACGCCGATAAACACAGAAATTCAACTTGGCCGAAGGACAACGGGCAGGACATGAGACATCCTCATAAGGATTAGAGCGGAGGGGGAAAATAAACAATAAAGTTAAACCGCGATAACCAGCATGACAAAGGATAATGGATAACATGCCCAGGCCCAGGCCCAGGCGCAGGACTCTCTGCCGATTTTTCGGGTTTGGGGCGCAAGAAATGGTTGGCAATGAAAATGCTTACGATAGCGTGTAGAATTAAATTTTATTGTAATTCGCCTTCAGCCAGGCCCTCCTCCTGGCAGTGGCAGGACTTTCCCACTCTGCCCACAGGGACTCGTCGTTGAAGACTTCTGTTTGTTTCTCCTTCGGAGCGAGTGAAGTGGTTAGAAATGCGGCAGAGTGCTTGTGGCGGAGTGGCGATGGGGCCGGGCCGGGCCAGGGCTAGTGGTGCCAGTGGTGGTTGTCCTGGGATAGCTGCGATGCATTTCCACGACAGTTGGTTGGGCAAATTAGTTCAGTGCGAAGCGAATGCAATTTGCACATGGATCTCGTTTCGGGGCGGTGTTCCAGCCGCAAAAGTGTCTCCGGGGAATCACACTGAACTGACATGAAGTGAACCGATTCGTCTTTCAGTCCAGTGACTCTAGCTGATAAACTAATTTCGGTTTCGGGTAACTAACTCATAGATACGTTTTTTTTTAGGATTTCCTATGGTTTGTAGAGTACGAATTGTTCGTTTAAAGTTTAAGAGTAGCTCTCCCAAAGGATAGGTATTTAGAAATCAAACGATATGTGAAGTTTGTGAAGGACCTGCCTGGCCGGAATCTAAGCCAAAACTTTTGCTAATTGCACATTGTTTGGCCAAAGGCCATGCAAGCCACTCAGCATTAATTAGCCTCGATGAGAACTTTAACTCATTAATGAAGCTGGCAAACAGAAACTTGGTCAATGGCCAGGGCTTGTACCTGAAATGGCCCACTTCGACTTTGAGTTAAGTTCTTCGATCCTTTGCAGCTTTTTTCTTGTTTTTGCCATCACGTCTCTGCTCTCCTGTTGACGTACGTGTCAAATTAGCGACGTTTTAACAAGCTCGCCGTGTCCTGTGTGTCCTGGGTCCTGTGACTTCCGTCCTCCCCCGTCGAAGCCTCCAGACGGGGCGAATCAATCACGCGAAAGTGGCCGGCGCAGAAAACTTTGAGCAACTGCGTCAAATTGCCTACTTTTGTGGGACGTCATGTACCAAAGAGTCCTTCTGCCGCTGCCCGCACCTTCTCCATTCAGGTCCTGCCGCTCTTTTGGTTGGCATCGCTGATTGCTTTTTCATTGCAGTTTGTCAGCGAGGCGGCCTCCTTGTTGTCGACAGCAAAGTTTTCTTCTCCAGCCAGGACCACTGCCTCTGCCGCTGCTGCCACCTGTGTACTACCTGTTTTCGCTTCCATTTTCCAGCTCAATGGCTGAACGTTTCGAGCCAGATTGGAGCAGGGAGGAAACATATCGTCAGCAATTAAGCCAGCATTCAAACGTCTGTCTGGGATTTGGGATTGCTGGTTCTTTTTTTCTGGTTTCCTCTCTTCTGCCTCCTTAAATGCGATTTATCAGTTTTTTTCGCCCTACCCTCCAGCTTGAAATTTTTGCGCTTTTTTTACAATTCTTCCTCAAAAAATATTTTTCCAAACGCCATTTATCATTATGGTTTGAGGAGGCAGCTGTTTTATAGTTTATGACGGGCGAGTCGTGTCTTTCCTTCTACTATATCTTATAGGTATTTAAACTCGCAGATACATATACTAGCACGTACATATAGAGAACGCCTGTTGTCATAAATGGGATTTTAGATGCCGACTGTTGCCGCCCGGATTTCGCCAGTTCGGCAGTTTTGTGCCTCTGCTTGGAGTTCGATAAAACGTTTTACAAATTGATTTATGTGCTTAACATGTTGCCAGCTCAGCTCTCGCGTCTCTCACAATTAGATTTCGCTGGAAAATCGGTAGGAAAAAGTTTTTCCTTCCTTCGGAAGGCGAAAGCATCGACATCGGCCACGGAGTCCCCCATCAATCATCGATAATGTCGATAGGGCTAAAATGCCCTGCCACACTTTTTGGCCTCTCTGGGCTCTTTTCGATTTCTGTTTTTTTTCCCCCCGGCCCTCTGTTTTTATTAATAAAGCATTTGTTTTCCCCATAATGAGCAACGACAGGCGGCTGTCAGGAGTGGCGAGAGCGGCTGAAAAAGAATCCCTCCCCCGGGGCCATAAAAAAGTGGCAACACTTTGTCAAGTTGTTATTACCAATATTTTATTTCCGCTTTGGTCTTCTATTCGTTTGTCTAGCTGGCGTTTGCCACGTTTTCGGCCATGATTGATGGCCCAGTTAGTGGGATGAAGATGGATTTCCGGCCAGTTTCACTGCAGTTTCTACTACAAATCTCGACCTGTCTCCGATTGGCTTCGAATTGCATTTCGCCGCCTAATGAGCCTGCAAATGAGTTTTCTAGAGTTTGGCGGGTAATTTGATTTTGTGTCTGGTGGGGATGCTGCTTTTAGGCATATTTGCATAAAGAAAGCATAAAGCTTTCTTTATGCGCGCTGAGAGCATAAAGAAAAAGCCCGAAACCGAAAAACCCGCAAACGAGAAAATATTGACAGCAAAATGGCGCGTAAATAGTAAAAGGATGAGGTGCTGGTAAGGAGTGGCGGAGTGGCGTGGGAGTGGGACAGACAGGGGGTTGACAAGCTCTCAGCACCCACTCAATGCCACTGCCAATACCAATGAAATTTGCCACATTTTGCATATGACACAGGGTGGCGCCACAAGGCTCCTTGCCAAATTGTTCGAAGAACATCCCCCGACAAAAAAAAAAAAAAACGAACAGCTCTTCTGCCATGCCATCGGGGTGCCATGTGCCAGTGTCGTAAAAATATTCGCTGATTTTTGTTCATTTCCCCGGAGAGTGTTACGTACGTAATTTTACAGGGACAAACTAATGGGCGAAATATTATCACGCGCCATTTTTTGAGGCAATTTCACGCATACGCGGTCTAATTTACGGATACATTTATTTTCGGCGGCCCTCGTAATACTCACATCGCACACTGAGGTAATAGCCAATCGACGAGTACTGGAAGTTGAGGTGGCGGGATGTGCACTTGTACCAGCCGGAGTGTTCGCGCCGTATCGACGTGAAGTTCAGGAAACCATCGCCCGTTTGGGGCACCTGTAAAAAAATATATAGTCTATATTATAAAGATATAGATAGAGCCAGGGAGGCGGGGTAAAATGAGAGCACTGCTCGTTATGCGTAAACAATTTTTGGTAATTAAGGCAAGGCAAATAGTTTCGCACAAGTTTGCACCTCGCCAAGGAGAATTTCTCCTCTCGAGGCAGCGACAACTGCACGAAAATCCATTTAAAACTTTCTCCTTAGCCAAAAATCACACAAAAGACCGAGCCTTCATTTTGGCGGCCTACGTATGCAGGCTTTTATCCCATTTTACGCATTTTCCCACCTTTATTTCGCATACACTGAGATTATAGACTGATATAGATAATAGATAGTATAAATAAATAATAGATAGCATATAAATAGGCTTTTATTTGGATAACAATTTGTAACCTACTAATATTTTCAATTCTTTATATCTAGGAATGTTAATATTTTAGTATGAATGAGCTTAGCTTTATCCTAAGCTTCTAAATTATATTGGTCACAAAAACTAGAAGATTTTAGTATTCTAAAAAAAAATTATAGTGAAGTATATGTCATTCTATTGAAATTGGATAATCTTAAAAACCAAAAAATTATCTTCATAAAGTTTTGATATGGCCTTTACGAGTTTATTTTTTCAACATTAGTAGGTAATTTTATCCAGATCTTTAACCTTAAAAGTTATTTGAAGATTTAGGGGAATCTTCCAATAAAAAGAGAAATAAATAAATAGGCTAATACTATTTAAAAAAAATTGTCCAGCTAAATCTAATACTCTTTTTTTTTACCATTAAATACTTTAGTTTTATAAATTTCTGATGCGTTAGGACTGATTTTAATGATTCCCCCAAAACGATACAATTTTTTCCCTTAGTGTTCCTGAAAAAAACTTACCGGCGTGTCACCATCGTCCTTCTGCCAGCGCGGAGTGCTCGGAGGATTGGAGTCGACGTCGCACTTGAGGCTAACTTCGATGCCCTCGCGGAGCGGATAACCAAAGCCAGGTGTGCGGGATATGGCGAAGGAGGGCGTGTCTGCAACGGGGACAGATGGTTATTTTGGTTTGACTTTGGCTGCAGATTTTCGGTGTCTTCTCTTCACTGTCGACCGACCGAGCGAGTCTAGTCGGTTGCCGGCAACATCAACAAAATAGTTTTTTAATTAAAAAATTACTCAAAAAATGGAAAGAGTGGGTAAAAAAGGGGTAAAAACTGAACGTAAGAAAGAGAAACTTTTATAATTAAACTAAATGCAAATGTTAGGCTCAGAGTGGTGGGACTTGTCTGTTCTGGACAGGCAAAAGGTAAATAAGGCAGCGAGAATTGTTACCCCAAGGTGTTTGTTTAAACGGAAGGATAAAGGAATTTCTTTTGAAGTTTTTCAGATGGGAGCTCAACCGCAGACATTCTCAAATTAATGTTTTAATATTTTTGAATCCACGGATGTGTTATATTAAGCTAATCTAAGCGAATCGACTTGGCTAATTGACTTTCACAAAAGTGACTGATTAATTAATTCGGTTTAGTTAGAGATGACAGCATTTAATTACCAGTGGCCGAAACATGTCAATTAGAAGTGCATTCTGGCCAAGTTTTCGCTCACAATGGCCTGAACAATTTTTGGCTCTGGCACTGATTCGAAACCCATTCCATTCCGGTTTCAAAGTAATTCGATATACGTTTCAAAACGCAACTTCGATTTCAATCCCAAACTGCCAATCAGAAATCCATTCAGAGCATGTCAAAAAGCCATCGACAAAATGTAAATCTAAATGTAAATGCAAATAATTGGAATGCCCCACCAAAGCCCATATCTGCAGCACTTTGATGCGGCGGACATGATGCGGCCCTGCCATCACATCCGTCCAGACCTTCTCCGTGTTCGGTGTTTGGACCCTCTGTCCTATTCAATGCATATTCATGGGCATAAATCAAATGTTTTTTAATTAGTGCTGGCCATTTGGCCATTTGGCTCATGGGAACAGCCAGCCAGCCAGCCAGCCTAGCTAGTCGAAGTAGTCATCGGCGGACAAAACACTGTCCGGCAAAAATATGTTACCCCGAACAAATAGTATATGTCGGGGGGCACTTGCATTCATTTCAATCTTTTCAATTTTTCGGCGCATCAGCCGGCCTTTGTGGCCTTTTGTAACTAATACAATTTGATTAGGCACCCGGAATGAGTTTGCAGATGCCAGGGGACAAATGAAATTTGTTTGTCGGTTGTTTGCCAAACTATTCAATACTGCTGGCTCCCTTCGTGCCGGCTTCATGTTGATTTTCCTACATATGTGACATGCAGACAGACGTCACTCGTCAGACATCATATACAATATACAGAATATATATATTTGCCTTTTAGGGAGCATTCGCCCATCAATTTGTTGGCTAAAAATGTGCCCCACAAAGGGCCGGGCCACCCAATTGTTTAACTTGGCCTCGTACCGATGGATGGATGGCCATTGGCCAACAGACCGGAGACCGGAGCCGAGCCGGGCAGAGCGAACCAGATTGTTTTCTGGCCAACTTCAATCAATTATTGTGCAAAAGTGTATTTGGACAAAAGGCTTCTATAGCTGCTGCAAAATATGCACAATGCACACTGACATCCTTGGCAATTGCTCAAATTAAAAGGAAATTCCCTTTGCCATGGCCAAAGCTCTAATTTAAATGGAAACACAAATGTTTCCTTTGGCTCGTTTACTTTAATTTCGACCAGTTTGAATTGCAAAATATGTCATCAAGTGAGGGGAGAGCGAGAGGTGGACGACAGGTATGCTGCTGTCCTTGATTTGTCTCTCAACTGTCTGCATAAAAATGCGCAAATTAAACGCAACCCACCATTACAGATACGGATGCAGATACGGATGCGGATGCTGCGAATTCAGATACACAGACACAGATACACAGTACTCTTGCCCTTAGCAAGTGCTTTCATGTGTGTGCATTTTAATTTATACAAGCCAGGAGCGCAGGACACACGGGGCTGGGCCATAATAAAAGGAAAAACAGGACGAATCAGAAACGGGATACTTGTTCTTTCTTTTGTTGTAGACCGGAAAACATTGCGGTTCGTCCTGACTTGTTGTTATTATTATTGTTAGAGGCCTTTTGCTGTTGTTATTGCGGTTTTTGCAATTTTCATGCCTGGCCAAAGCACACCCACACCCACACCACACTGCCAACCAGTGGACTCTCCTCCACCAGCCATGCAAATCCCGCACGGCTTTTCTATATTTTCCAATCATTTTCAGGAGCCTCTCGTCGGCACAGGACCCTCTATACCTGGGCATTTGTCAGGGCATTATGCGGCTTCACGAACATTAATAAAGCAAATAACTGCGGTCCCTCTCTGATCCTGACGCTGATTGAGACCCGGCATCCCGACCATCTCCCGCTCCGAGTCCGGGCTCCACGGTGTCCTGGCGGCTGGACGTGTGTGCGGCTTTTTGCTGCCAATTAGTGCTAGTCTTCCAATTGTCGCCTGGCATTGATTTCCATTTCCAGTTGCGTCACTTCTGCGGTGCCAACAGGATTCCTATCTTTATTTGCCTGTTTTGTTGTGGCTAACACGGCCACCATGGGATGCATACCCACACCAAGGGCCAAAATCAAAACTGTCATTCAAATCAGAGGATGGAGGGCAGTGCACCACAGTCAATAATTGAGTAATTAAGGGAAGTAACTTTTGGGAATGGGGCTGTGCTTTAAAGTCCTGCCGACACCTTCTTAAATTTTAAGCTAATTGAAAGCCCAGCAATCCCATTGGGTCGAGTCCTGATTCGTCCTTTATTCCACTTGGCTCCCTGAAGCTTTTGTTCTTTACACTTCAACTGTGGAACCTGGGCGTCCTTTTTTCAGATGTCGCGTTTATTCTTTTTTCCCTCAGCTCCTGCGCCAGAGGCATGCAGTTTCATTGCAATTTGATTTTATTTTTCTTTCCCAGACCCGGTTTTCTTATTTTTGCAGCACTTTCAATTAATATAATTCCACCCCGCCCTCCTTATTCCAGCGACTTTGTTGCAGCTGGATAATAATTTTCTGCTGCGGTGATTCATTATTTTTACTTCTGACCCTGCACTGCCTGGCAGTCTGATTCTGGCCCTCCTGGCCCTGGCCTGGACGGCTGGAGGCGTGTGTTAACTTTGGCAATTTAACTTTTCAATCAACATTTACCTTTTGGTTTTCACTTTTATTTACATCGCCGCTCGACTCTCGTTTTCTGACGAGGCCCAACTTGAAGGTAATTAAACAAGGTGAGATATTCGCATTGTTTGACTTTTATTAAAAGTTTGTTTTGTTTTTCTGAGAGAGATTTAAATGGGTTTTTAGTGGGTTGTTTATGATTTGCTGAGGAAAAAACTAGGTGAAAGGTTGGCAGGTCATTACTAAATAAGGATAACAAAATAAAAAGCTTTCAAGGATACTTTCATCAAACTTACATTGCACATCTAGGAGAAGGGAGGCGTTCTGTCGTATCTTCAGCGTGGGATGCTCCATGACGCACAGAATCCGGGCGTTGTGGTGGGCCCTGTAGACGGCCGGCAGTCGGGCTTCGCTCTTCGAGCCGCTGTTGATTTTGTAGCCGTTTTTATCCTGCGGAGTGGAAGAAAGAGCCTCTGATAAAATGCCATTTCAATTTGACACTAAACACTGGCAAATTGGGCCAAAATGACAGGCCTGGCTGGCTGGCGGCGCTGGCCTGGGCAGCCAATTAGTCAGGCCTGTTATCAGCGCGACATCATTAATTTAAATTAAAGTCCAAGGGCAAGGGCACTGGCCACCCACGCCACCCATCCGCCACTCCGCCCACTCTCTCTGTGTGGCTTCTGTATGGAAATTTTGTTGGCACAATTTTCAATCAATCATCGGGCGGGTGGTCCTGGGGGGGCTTGGCGGGGTCTTGCGACCAGCCGAACACGCAAATTTGTGGCATTTAGGGTCCAAGCGACAAACACCCACACACTCCGGCACACACAAGGAGTAGGATGTGTTTGTGTGGCTGTGTTTGACAGGCTGCACGGTGGCGGGGGCAAGTGAGTCAGTCTGCCGGGCCTTCTGCATTGCTTGACCGAGATGTCTGCTTTTCATTATGCTCGAGTGCAAGACAAACAAATTTCGGCCTAACCGCAAACGGGCCCAGTTAGTAGCCGCACCCTCCCCCCGTCGCCACCGCCGCTGCCGCCTAGTCAGCCGTCCGGAAGGCTTCCGTTGTTTGAGCCAGGAGTCGCTGTTAGCCACACCTAATGTGTTTGCTGCGGTTTTCCCCTGGCTTGCGCTGCGGCAACAACACGCCCGGATAGTGATAGATGCGGATATCGCCTCCGCCTCCATCGATTGCCTTTGAGGCTCTCATCGCACTCACCTTTTCGCCCTTGATCTCCTCCAGCTCGAGCACCTCGGCGGACACCTTTTGGGCGTGCCGGTCCACGCCGGGGCTGAGCAGCACCTCCCAAGTGAGGGTGGGCCGAGGATTGCCGCCCTCGCTGACACACGCCAGGTTCAGCTCGGAGTTCTCCTTCACGGGCACGAAGAGGTTGCTGGCATCCAGGCGTCGGCCGTCGATTAAAAGGTACGGTGGCTTAGGGCGATCTGTGGAAGAAGTTAAGATATTATAAGGATATGTCTTATAGGATCATGTTATTTTCTCATTTTTGGGAAAAAGTTTTGTTTGCTAAGCTGGCCATAAAAGCAAGCACTCTGCATCTTAGCACTAAAGACCACATTCCCGACTTGGCTGAGGTCCTCGGCTAATTTGGCAAATGTAACGACCTTTTTAATATTTGTCTAAGCTTTCAGGCAAGTCGTGACTGCAACGGCTGCTATGGGACAAGGATACTGTAAGGATACTCACCCAGGACGACCAGCTTAACGGGCCGGGCATTCTCCGTGTAGCGGCGCGTGTTCTCCGCCTCGCACTGCCACTTGCCGTCGTCCTCCAGCATGACGTTGGTGATGGTTAGCGCGCCATTAGCCTCCTTGATGAAGCGATAGTCGGTGACCCGGGTGGTGCGGTCCATGGCGTGCACCACCTGCAGAGAGAGAAAAAAAGAGGGAATTGTAATAATGGTTGAAGGAGGTTTTAGGGGTTAGACTCTACAGAAGTGATAGTACTGTACAAGTACTGATAGTACAAGGCTCTTAGGAACAGGATTTTCTCTCTGTGTACTCCCTGGGTAGGTGAAAATAAGAAGATGCGGATAAGTTTGTGTCGCGTTAAAGCTAATGTCACTGCCGGAATTATGCAAAGCGCCTTCTGAAACTTTTAATGCAGCGCATTAAATGCTCATAAATTCTCCCGTAAATGCAATATTCCCGCCCTTCTCTCCTTTTATTCCGTTCTCCCTCTGCTTATCTCCGGCCGTCTCTGTCTACTTTGGCATGCGAAACAATTGCATTTAATGTTTTCATATCCATTTATTTACACTTGGGCCTGGCCGACTGGCTGCGCTGGAATTTTATTACATTTCGCTTGAAACAAACACAATAATGACAATTAAATGAGGACGCTGGGAATGGCAGGCAAAAGCCACCAAGCCGCCGAACCACCGAGCCATCGAACCACCCACCCATCAATCTGCCGCACCATCCTGAATCGAGAGCTCCGAACCACTTTGCAGCACGCCGCATGTTATCCACTGGTAATGTGCCAACAATGAACTGTCGGCTTAAAACTGTTACCAATAGTTGTTGGCCAGCTGCCTGCCACTCGCCACCGCCAGTCGGGGCTTAATGCAAACGGATATTTATGTGCGCATTCAAATGCCTCGGCCGCAGAGCCATAATAAAAATTATGAGGAATGCAACACAAAAACGAAAAACAAAAAATTACGCAAAAATGAGACACGTATTTATATGAAAATGTTTGGGGCGCTTAATGCGTTTAAGAGCCAATTAAATGTCTGGCTAAAAAGCGAGCGGTCGGCGGGGGAGACGCCGGCAACTGAAACACAATTTTAATTGCATTTCCAGGCAGCAGAGATTAACTTTTGGGCTTGGATTAAGGCGCTGCTAGCAAAAAATGGGCTGTCTGAGAAGGATTTGAAAACGCAGGACTGCCCACACTAGATGCAGCCCTGTTCTCTTTGTTGTAGATTTTAATATTAAATACAAAGCGGAAATTAAATAAACGTATTTTTTCAATAAGTGGTTTTAATTGGCAAGTTGGGTATTTAATCAAACTTAATTTTTGTTAAATACAGGTTGAAGAAGGAGTTGTACAAGAAAATTTGGAGGATTTCTTATTGAAAAGTTTTTATTTTGTATCTTTTGCCTAATGCATCACATTTTTTTATGTAATTCTTAAATTAATTCTGTGCCAATATCTACAGATGTTTTCATAAATTATATGAAAATGTTTCTCTTGAAATCTTTTATACATGGGTAAGATCAGTAGGTAGGCAATATTTTTGGTAATTTAGGAAACATATGTACCTATCCTAGGTACCTAACGTATCCTAGGTATCTTTCTAAAAAGTTTTAAGTTAGGGTTTCTTTATATATCCGTTTATAAATTTATTATTTATAAACCGACTATTCAGTATATAAACAACTCTTAATAGTCCTTAAATAACTTTTAAATGAAATTTCAATGTTTTTAGCTCTTCAAAAATAAAAATTTAACCAGACCTGATGTAGGAAATCTGCGCAAAATATGTAAACGGAACAAAACAGAAAAACAGAAAAATATTTGTTTGGTGCACTTCCGGTTCCGTTTGTGCGTTTGCCATTTGTAGTGTTTGTTTCAGTTTAGATTCTTTTCGTGTATATTTTTCAAATGCAGTGCAAATATTTATGCGTATATGGATTTCACTTCCCCATTCAGCTTCTCCATTTTTTGGTTCTATTTTTGGATCGGAGTGATTGGGTGTGTGTGTGTGGATGGCTGGGTGTATGAATGGATTGGTGTTGGTGTGCGTGCGGCGACTTCCGGTGCGCATTTGCCGCAGTCGCCGCAGCGGCCATTTGCTGAAAATTTATTAACCAACGACGCATTTGACTGGCAACTGGCAAAATGGCAAACTGGCTGGCAAACTGGTAAACTGGCAAAGTGGAAACTGGATTTTGCGTGGCTGTGCAGCGGGGCATTCAGTTGGAAATTTATGAGGTCGATGGCGATCCGAGGCTTTTTGGCATCCACTGCATTTTGTACACACGCACAGCCGCACAGGCGAGTCCTGGGCCGGATTGGAGGTCCTGTCTGAAAGCCTTTGGCACCTGGACGAACGCGTATCTATATGGGTAGGGGTGTGCGTGTGTATGAGTCCTGGATTTTTCTGGTTTGGCAACATGGCCGCCGGACAAAAGCGTTAAATGAGCGTGGCAAATCCTTGTTTACAGCGTCGAGCGTTTGCCGGATTACACGCTCGATTGTTTTCGTCCTCGGCCATTGTTGGTCCTGCCAAATGGCGATCTTCTCGCTTCTGTTTCGAGCGAGGTAATTATGAATTCGGAGGCTTTTGTTTTCACCGCGGAATGTTGGGGGTATATGGTATACTGATGTGTTGTGTTGTGTTGTATTGCGGGTTGTATTGTCAGCTGCGTCGATTCGCATAAATTGCTGAATATTTGAAGGCTTGCACGCATAACTTTGCATAATTTGTGGTGCCGTTATCGGCTTGTTGCAAAATGTTGGTTCGTTGGCTCTGTAATATCTAATTGCATTGTTGGCCAACTTTTTGGCGATTTACATTTCATTTTTACCCATAACTCCGCCAGTCGTCCTGATTTTTATGCATGAATAATAATGAAATATTATTATTGGGGGAAAAAAATCGTTGTATTTGGAATTTGTTTATTTTTGGCAACATTTTTTCATTCCGAGAATCCTAATAAATGGGACTTTTAAGCAGATACTTTATTGACATTTCCCCGACAATTAGCTCCATGCTCCTCCCTGAAAAAGGGAATTCCTTCAGCTCCTTCCGAGACCATTCCGAGCAGATCCTTGTATTTTTCTCCTTCGCGTCAAGTGCAGTCGAAGGCAGAGGCAAAGGCAGAGGAAAGGAAAAATAGCTACTTATATCTATCACTTGCTTGGAATTGCAAAAATCTTGTCAGGCAACATTGCTCACTGACTGTCGCGCCCCCAGACCCCAGCCACTCGGTCCTCTTGCCACTCATGCCCCATCCACCCCTGCCACTAACTTGAAATTGCTTTCGGCAAATATATTAGCCTCTTGATAATTTCCAACAATAAATTCCTTGGCACTCACACTCGCAGACAAAGGATGCGAAAAGGACTGTAGCTGTAGCCGGGATCCTGGAGCTCGGGATGAACTCCTTTAGCCGCTGTGCCCGCTCTGGGACTCTAATGCATTGTGCAACGCTCTAGAAAGTACAACAAAAGTCGCTCATGTTGCAAGCTGTCAGTGCAACACTTGTCGCATGTCATTGCCGCAGTCGCAGTTGCAACGCGACGGAAGAGTGGAGCAGAATGTAGCTGCCTTGTGTGGGGAGCTTGTTCAAAAGACCAAAGTCAATGGGAGCAAGCTGCAACGCTGTGGCAAGGAGTTTGGGAGGCAACTGGGGATAATGACGAAATCTATATACATTTTACTGTTTGGTCCTTCAAGGAAACAAGTCTTAGGAGTTCTTAATCTTTATTGACTTTTTTTAATAAAATATTTCTTATTTAATATATTATTTTTAAAAGAAATATCCTTAAAGTTATAAAAAATATAGTGTCTGTGCAGTTATTTCCTAAATTAAAAAGGGCATTTATTTGGCGGCATTCTGACTTTCCCACAATCACCTTCTCCTACTCCTACTCCTGCCACATACACACATTGTTGCCGCATCATTGTTGTAATTGCCGCAGCCGGCTCGTTACTGTTGCTCTATCTCCCAGCCTCCAGTCGCCAGCCTCTAGCCTCCTGCTCATCGTCCTGCCTCCTGCCGCTCATCTCGTCCTTCTTGGGCTCTTACACATGGCTGGCTTTTGTTTTAACACAACTAATACAATTGCACCGCTGGGAAATGTGCTGCGATGGCAGACGTAGATGGTGGATGCTACTGCTGCCGCTGCTGCTGATGTTGCTGTTGCATTGGCGTTGATTTTATTTGCCATCGGAGCACTCAGAGTCAGAGTTGGAGGAAGAGCCGGAGAACTGGTCCAGGAACAGCGTCGACATTGTAACTAACTTAATAAACTTGTCAAAGGTACAAGGCGGTGCAGGCGGCGTGTTAGCAACTTAAGCTACGCTTTTCCAGCCAGCTCTGCCCCCACCACCAGCAACCACTCCAGCCACTGCCCCCACTAAGTGCCACCGCATTGTTGCTCTGTTTCGTTTGGGCTGGGATCTCTGAGGCTGACTGATTAATTTGCCAGCTTGATGTGATTTACTCCGGCCCCGAGTTGCATTATGGCGTCGGGGGTGCAACTTGTCTATTAATGTTGCATCTTAGCTTGCCTCCTAATTGACTAATGGAGGCTTATCTGGCCTCGGTGGATAAAATTTATGCCATGGAAGATGGGTCTAGGGGTTTTTTGACCTTAAACCTGAGCCACAGGATCCATAAACAAGCCAAGTCTGACGGGGCCACAAAGTGTGCAGCAAGGCTGCCAGGATGCAACCATAAACCTGTTATTTTATTTGCCTCCGCTGCCCTCCGGCCAGGCTCACATCCGGCAATTGTCGCCAACGGAAAATATGGCCAACACTATAAGGCCGGCAAATTGCAACAAAAACGGTAGCTACAAAGTTCTTAAATCCGTAAGGAGACCCTAAAAGGGGATAGCTCCCATTTTTGTTGCAGATACTTGCTCTCGCTGACTGACAACATGTAGCGACACATTTCAGGTTAAATAAAAGCAAACAATCTGCCCCCGATGCGAATGCGAATGCGATTCCGAATCTGGATCCAAATGCAATCAGATTGCTGACGTGTCGGATGCAATAGCGACTTGCAGCTGCTGACAGGCAATTTAGCGGCTTCAAACGCAATCTAATATGGAATGCAAATGCAAATAGCAGCAAGTAGACAAACAATTGCAGCTTCCTGGTCTGCTTGTCTGGCCGCAAGTGTGCAACACTTTTTCCGAGTTCCCAGTTGCATGTTGTGCTGCGAGAGTGCAACACCATCCGGAGTGGAGAACACACAGCACGTACGCAAAGTGTCGGTGGTGGTATAGTGTAGTGGGTAGTGTGTAGTGTTTGTGCCATTGGCTGCATAGTTGCATTGCTGTGCTGGCTGAGCCAGGCTCTATGTTGCCACTGTGTTAGTTGCAACTATTATTTGCCCATCAACAACTTGGCCTGCCGGCTTGTTGTATTTACACCTGCACAAGAGCAACAAGAGTGGGCGAGTGAGCCTTGGTTATGGCCCCTCCTCACTAACCTGCCCCCACCCCTCATATTTGCCCCAAAACACATTCTGGTATTCCAGGTGCATAACAAGTTTGCGATGAGGTTTGAAAGCCAAACTGAACGGGGTTCATAAGGTGTGCGAGTGTGGCGAGCAGTTCGGCTTCTGGGGCATTCCAACTTCGTGCCACCGGGCCTTATCTCGCTTAGTGTCTTCCCTACCCCCTCCACCCTGGTCCACCCCTGGTTTTTTGCCAAACAAACACTTTGCAAAACTGTTATAATTGCATTACGCCGAGAGGTTTTTTGTGTGGCCTGTGTTTGCGTTCGCAATTACAACTCAATAACTTTTGGACCGGGCCAACTTTTGTTTCGCATTTCGTGTTCATGTTGGCAGCCGGTTTTTTTTTTGTAACGGCAATTTGCATTCGAGCCATCATTTGTTGAGTGTTTGTGGGCGTCCTGGCGTGGCAAAAACTCTGTAATTAGAAGCTCTTCTAGATGCTGCATAATGAGGCAATCGTGGAAAAAGCACGACCCTCGAAAGATGAGCTCTCTGGCTCCCCGACTGCCTGACTGCCTGACTGGCTGGCTGGCAGGGCTTTTGACATCAGAAACTATCAAATAATAACGATTATCCTATTTGCATAATGCGGCAGTTAAACGACAAAGGACCAAGTACCCAGACACAGACACAGAGCCAGGAGAAAAAACCCAGCCACTCGAGACGTCTCGGCCAGAATAAAAATAAAGCCAGGAGCAGTCAGAAGGACAGACAGACAGACGGACGGACGGACAAAGAACAAACAGAAACGGGCGAGAAGGACTCTAGATGGGAGGTGGGAAGGCAAGGAATGCAAAAGGCTAAGAATGCAATTAAAGTCAGCACAAGTTGGCAGTCCTGACAGCTTGAGAGGTCCTCTCGGAATGGCTTAAAGTAGAGCCTGCGAATGGGGTGTTAGCTCACCTGGCCGTTCTTGTACCACATGCTGGTGGCAATGTCCAGGTCCACCTCACACATCAGCTTGATTTCCGAGTGCTGCTCCGCATAGACCACCGACATTTCCTCCGCCTCGTAGGGATTGGGGGGCACGGGCCGCAGTGGCAGGACCCGCGGCTCCAGCGGTCCCTCGTCCTCGTCCTCCTCACCATCCGCATCCTCGCGGCTCTTGCGGCTGAAGAGATCCCGGGTACTGGTCCCGCTGTCGAACTCCTCCACGTCGTCGATGATGATCACCGGCTCCTTGGCCTTCGGCTGCAAGTCCTCGGGTGCCAAGTGGACCGTCGACCGGGGTCGCTTCGCCTTGGTCTCGTTGACATGGAAGCTCCGGGTGGCCGGACTACTGGAACTGGTGGCCTGGACTGTACTGAAGACAGCCGCCGCTACCGTGGAGGTGCTGGTGGAACTGGACTCCAGGTCGGAATCCTCCTCGGTCTCCCGTCGCTGACGCCGCTTGACCGCCCGTTGGGCCTGGTGGTGGGGCTTCAACTGCGTCCGCCACTTTGCCCACTTGGCCTTGGCCTTCTGGCAGTTCTTGGTGCACTTGATGGCCGGCTTACCGCGCTGGTCAACTGGCTCCTCCAGGGACTCTGGTGATATGCTCAGCCATCTGCTGCTGCCGCTGTGTGGGCTGCTGATGGCTTCTCGACTGTCGGCGGGCTTCGTTCTTTGCACTGACTTGGCTGGATTGATATTCTGTGGTTGCGTGTAGGTGGTACCTGTAATTAAACAACAAACATTTATGAATAAGACATCAAACAGAAATGACACAGATATTTCTGGCCCTAACCACACGAGGAATTTCTGGTCTTCTGGCCAGAAACTCCGCCGGGGAGGGGGGAATTATTCAAGGGCAATTGATACCGGAGTAAGAGTATCAATTACATTGCCTTGTTGCTGCCATAATGCTTTCAGGGCTCATGCATTTATTTAGGACATTTCAGTAGGCAGGACCTAGCCAGTCATCAGGACCGATCGAAAAGTCGAAGTAGGAGTAGCAGTATTAGTCCTCGAGCATCAGGGCAGGCATCCTTCGAAATGTTTTCTCTATGCATGCAAATCCTGTCCTAATCTGCTGCACATTCAAAGCTATTTTCATGCCTACCTCCCTATCACACCCCCCGTTTGTTGCTCTTTGACAACTCTGCTTATTGTCTATTGCAGGATTCAGAGCCTCTTTCCTCCAGAATGCTCCTGACTCCTGGCATTGCTGTTGTTTTCCTGCTGGCACTCCTGTTGTTGTTGATAAATTTACACAAGTGTATGACAAGCTTTCAAATGGTAATTAATATTCATCTGAGGCAGGGATGCAAGGACTGCGAAAGGAGGGATAGGTGGTGCAAATGGGAGTGGGAGTGGCAATGGATTCCGAGTTTCGGGTGTGACACCGCCCCGCACAAGACAACGCAGACCGGAAGACTGAGGGCCCCATGCTCTAGGCCCCAGGTTTCTCATCCGAAAGTCAACTGTAGCCGGCAGTTACGAAAGTACACTGAGAAAAGAGCTTTGAATTAATTGCCAATAGTTCTAAAAACACTTAGTCCTCCAATAGAGGATATCAAAATTGTATTGCCTACTTTTAGGAACCCTGTTTGGAGGTTTCAAATCTCCTGAAAAATATTCTTTTCTTTTTGTGTAAAAATGCATGGCCAATGTCTGTGGTTAGCTGACAAGAGCAGAGTCAGTGCCGGGGAATAGTCTCGCCGCCCGACCGCTCGTTCTTTCAAACTCCTTTTCCTTCGTCGCCGTCGCCTTCGCAGTCGCCATCGTCCTTCCTCGTCCTGGCGACGACTACATTGTCTGGCTGGCTTTGGGCTTTTGTCTTCCAGCCCTTTTCTCGTTAGCTGGGCGTTACTCATCTCTTGCGCTTGGTTCTTGGCTTTTTGCTGGCTTTGTGTGTTCGTTGCTAAATTAAAGTTGTCATTTTTCAAGTGAACGCACAAAAGTATGCAATGCGCCTAATAAATTTCAGCCTGGCATATCCTGTTATTCGGCTGCTCCCATAGGCATAACTAAGGGAGAGCCTGGGAGAGGGCTTAGTTTATGGAGCAGTCGTAACTTCCCACACACTGCAGCGCACACAAACACACACACTCGTACGTGTATTAGAGGGAAGCGCTAAAATGTTTTCACAACAGCTTAAAAGTCGGCTACACTTTTCAACAGTGTGTGTATGTGTGTGCTTTGTTTGTTTGCATGCAGCTGTAGTTGTTTGCGCTGTAACTTAAGTTGTAAATGAAGATTGCGTCGGAAATCGCAGAGAACTGACGTTGCCTCAAAGCCAGGCACTGCCGCACCAGCCCCCCTCTAGCCTTACAAGTGCGTGCAAATTTAATGAAGCTGCCACACACACACATACAGACACATAGCCATGCAACACAAACACTCGAGCATGCTCGAGCTTCAAGCTTGGCGCACTTTCTGCGGCATTCGCCGTGCCGCATAAATTCCCAGGGCGGGGGCGGAATGGTGGACTTGGAGTGTGGGCGGGTTGACAGTTGGCACCACTCCCACCAGCAGTCAAACGTGTGTTTTGGCCCACTCCAAAGCCAGAGCTCCGTGCTCCGTGCTCATTAGCCAGGCCCAAGCACTTTTAACCGGTTCAATTCTGCATCAGTAATTGATTGCCCGGCTCGAGGCGATGCGATGCTTAATTGCATTGTTTTTCAAACATTTTGCGGCATAATATTGGTTTTTGCCAACGCCCACATAAATCAGGCAGTTTTACGCAATTATTGGCATAAATGCATACATTTTTCCCCTTCATTTCTTTTTTTTTTTTGCATTTTTTCTGGCACTCTCCACATGACAATTATGGCGATCCGATGGAGCGTCAGGCCTTATCAATATGCAAAAAAGCCATGTACTTTTATAAACTGACAAAACGATGGAAGCTGCTGTCGCCTAAGGGCGGAGCCGGGCAATCGAATCGCTGACATAATTACACGCACTTACACGCGTCTGAATGTGCCCGGGATATATCCCAGATATATCTGGATATATCCATACTGATTACTGGTCGTGGGGGTGGCGGCCTCAGTCACATATTACGGGTAAAAATTTCATCGATTTCCACACAACATTTTCACCCTTTCCCCGGTTTTTTGCCACACAGCTCCTGCCACACATTTTTTCACGTTCGTTGAGGCAAACATGTAAATGACATCGAGTTGAGTTTAATTTCGTGCACTTTTTTGCAGGCCATCGTTTTTTATTGTTTGCATGCATTTCCACATTAAATTAATGCACTTCAATCTCCGTGTTTGTGTTGTCTTTAACAATATTATGTTTTTACGAATTCCGATCCTATCGAATCGGTCGGACAAGCAAACACAGAGCCGAGAAGAAAATATGGTGTGACATCCGGTGTAATCATGGCTGTCGAACATGGGTAGCTGGCAATGCTGTTTCCGGTTGGTTCGTTTCTAATTAACTCTTGTTCCCATTGCATCTGCCTATTTGCAATGCAGAGTGTTTACTTTTTGCCATGACTCTGGATTCAGAAGTCCCCATTCGGCTCACAAGTCCAAACATTAAACAATAACTGGCAGGGGCAGTCATTATCCTTGTTCTAAACAGGCTCGAGTTTCACCAGCACTGAGGGAAATATTTGGGTGTTTGTTACTTTATTTTTCATTTTTATTTTAAGGACATGCCTTTCCAAAAACTAATCATAATCTGCCTTGTGGAGTATCCTTTAAGATGTATGATTTTGAAATTCAAAGCATTTTTTCAGAAATCCTTTTCCCCTATGAGCCAATTGTCAACAGACCTGCCTCCCCTGCTCAGCCTCACGTCCTGTGCTTACGTGTGTGAAAGGATGCTGGCAGGCGTATCGGTATGAGTGTGAGAGTCGTGCCTTGCACTGAGCGTTGATTAGGTTAATGTCCTTAAGGCATAAGAACAGCTGGTAGTCCCCGGCTTCATGGCCAACTCCTTCCCCACTTGTGAGTCCTGAGCAGCTTATGGCCTTCCCACACACAGGAGTGTGGGGCCTGGGTGCGGTCGTCAGTGTGTGCGTGCAAGGGTGGTCCTAGGCGGTGGTGCAACTTGCACCTGGACGAAAAACACAGATGCATCTAGTTGCCTGCCTGCCTTGTGCATTGTTTAAGTTCCACAACGTCGACAACTTTGGCAACCGCCACTTAATGCAAGCGCTGAGTTCACAGTCCCGAAAGGAGGAGGAGGTACCCCTCCGAAAGGGGGGGCGTGGCTCGACTGCACTTTGCCTGGTGTGTGGTGGCGGCTTTTGTGGCAAGCCAGCAAACAGCAAGAGCAGCAGCGCTCCTTCGCTCTCATTACTGCCATTGGCAACTAAAAGCCTTTTAATCGGTTGCGAAGGTTCTCGCAAAATTATTCCACAAATCGAGACTTGCATAGCTATGGCCCGGCACATATGCTTCAATTATTCGAGGCGAAGGCAGCTCTCGAAAATTAATTGACGTTTCACCACATTCTGTCAGCTTCGCTGGATTTTATAGAGTGTGCTGCCTTTATGAATGCAAAATGCTGATTCGCAACTAATTAGTGTCCCAAAGCCTCAAGTTCCCAGAGTTCAGTGCGTCACTCGTTTATGACAAATTATCTGCACATTTTATTTGTTAAATTCCGCAAGTCCTGTGTCAAGCCCTATGCTGTTGTCCTGTCAGCTAAAATGCTCTACGTGATCCTTTTTCCCGGCACTCTTTTTTCGGCAGAGTGCTGAGCGAGTGCGTGCTGGTCTTTTTTATGATTATGCAAGCTTGAAAGTTCTGACCTTCCCAGGCCACAGGACTAATGTTTGCGGCTACGCCTTGGCTCGGCGTAGTCCTTGCCACATACACACATCACCGCATTCCTCTGAACTGCCACTTCATTACACACACAAACACAAACGGCCAGGACAGCGAGGACAATGTCGGCGACATGTACACAGTGTCAACTAAACTGCTCTGGAAAGAGGTCTGAGCAGCGGCGTGGGGGGACCAGGTGCAGGGCAGGGCTGCAGGACCTTCTGGCCAGGTGCGTTGGCTATATTCTGTGCACTGTGCGCTCTGCTTTGCAATTGTGTCAAATTAATTGTCAACTGTTGTCGTTCCGCCGTCCGTCCCTTTCCCGCCCCGGCTGGCCCTCTCTTTCTGCCACACATATTGTCATCTCTTGTGTGCTTTGGGCGGCTGTCTGTCGTCTGTTTGATAAATTGCATTTAATGGCTGCCGCCAATTAAGAGCAATTTTTGCTGCCGTGGCTGCTACTGCTACTGCTACTGATGCTGCTACGTTTTTTTGCCAGTTTTTACCAGTTTGTCCCCTTTTCAGGCTCGTCCTGGCCTTTCTGCCAGTTGCTTTCAATTTGGCCTTCCCAGGCCAGGCTGCACTTTTAAAGGGCCAGTCCCACCGACTTGCGAGTGGGCCTAATAGAAATTGATAGCTGCCTCCGGAGCTATCCGGACCCAGGACCTGCAGCTTGACCGACCACGTCCTTCGGCCATATTTCTCACTTCAGTACGCGTGGCATTATAAAAATTAGATAAAACATTACGGCTCTTGGTATATTAAGTGCAAGAGCCTCGTTGCCCGGTACAGGGTCATTTACCATGTACCATCTATAAAGCATAAAAAAAAGAAAGCCAGAAAACGAGAATGCCCCTATCTGGCCATTTCCTTTCGGCCTTTTTTTGCTGCTCCTATTCTGGCCATCATGACTTCTTTGGTATTATTTATGTCGCCCGACGACTCTG